AGGCCATCGCTATTAGGTTGGAGGCCATCGCTATTAGGTTGGAGGCCGTTGCTATTATGGAGGCCATTGCTATGAGGGGGAGGCCATCGCAATTAGGAGGAGGCCATCGCTTTTAGGGGAGGCCATCGCTATGAGGGGGAGACCATGGTGGAGGCCACGTGATTAGGTTGGTGGCCATTGTTTTTAGGGGGGAGGCCATTGCTATTATATTAGGTTGGAGGCCATGGCTATGAGGTGGAGGCCATCGCTAATACGGGGAGGCCATGGCTATTAGGGGAGGCCATTGCTATTAGGGGAGGCCATCGCTATTAGGTTGGAGGCCATTGCTATTAGGTTGGAGGCCATCGCTATTAGGTTTGAGGCCATCGCTGTTAGGTTGGAGGCCATCGCTATTAAGTTGGAGGCCATTGCTATGAGGGGGAGGCCATCGCTATTAGGGGGGAGGCCATCGCTATTAGGGGGAGGCCATTGCTATTACGGGGAGGCCATCGCTATTAGGTTGGAGGCTATCGCTATTAGGTTAGGTTGGAGGCCATTGCTTTTAGGTTATTTGCATTTGCTTTCAGCCAGCATCTCAGGTCTGTGAGGTTGGGCTGAGTGTAGCTCCGCAGAAGGCCACATTAGGGCCACACTTTACTGCTGGAACGCCGGTTTGACAGGACATGATGACAGTTGGCGCATAGACACGGGTAAGCTTTCCAAGGAAGTCACAAAAGCATTGAATTGAATAGTCATTTCTAATTTTTCCCATCAGCTGCCCAGGGCACTTGACCATGTTAGGCGTGCGTTGGCGGCTTAGTGGAACTGTTTGATCGAAGGTGAAAGTTGAGCAGAAAGTCCAGGAGTCCACCGAGGCCAAGGTCGCACAGGTTGGGCCACCAAGATTTTCCACCAGTTTTGAGGACCCAGGTTGGGTCAACTTAGGTTGGTTGCAGATTTTGTAAAGAGCCTCTAAGCCATCCATAGCCGTGGTAAGCAAGAGTGTGTCAGGGCGTCACGCTTTGCATGCTTTGGACACCAGCGGATGGTATGGCCTCGGGAGATGTTGTTGCGCCTTTGTGTGTGTGTGTGTGTTTTTTTCTTTTTTTTTCCAGGGCTACTTGCGCACCTTGGATTTCAAGCGGTGGTTGACTTCTGTGGATCCCACTGGTGGTTGCCTGGAGTATTTGCCGGCCATGCAAATTCATGGGACCTTGGAGCAGATCATGGAGACGCCCCTTGACCGATAATTTGTTCACCTGATTTCTTCTAGACAGTAATCACACTGCATTTTTTTGCATTTTGGAATCTTCAGCCAAGAACATATTTTTGACCTCGCAGACCAAGCAGAGGTATCTTCAAGCTTCCGAGACGACGACTTCTAGGATTCTTCGAGACGAGTTCTTCACAGAGCATCAGGTTCGGCAGGAGCATCGCATTCGGTTCCAGCGCTGGTTCAAGGACAGCTGCGGTGCTGAGGAGGTGCGGCAAGGGTGTAACGGGGAAGCTGCTTTGTGCAGATTGGGCCAGAAGAGACGTTGCAGACTGGACCTACGCCTGCATATGTATTACAGGAGGAACCCTTTGGCTTGGCATGCTGGCACGAACTCTTTCTATGCATGTTTGCAACCATAGTTCTTTTGTTAGTTTTGACAAAAGTGGAAGGAGAGGTGAGGTGAGGATATACACAATCACAAATATTGATGGCTTGAGTGAAATTAGCAGGATATTTAGACATTAAAGTTGATATTGTCAAAGCTGATACAGGAGTAAGCGCGGCTGCTATGGCCTTCGGAACACAGAAAACAATAGACTCGGCTTTAATGAAATAGCTAGATATAGCTAGATCGATGGAGACAGAGACATGACATTTGAAGCCTTTGTCAATCAAGCTGGGATCTGGGATACAAGGATAGCATAGATTTTGTCTGATCTTCTCTGCAAGACAGGGTCCATGCAAGAAGAGTATCATTGTGTTGTTGGGCAAGAAATAGACTCCACAGACCAGGGTGTATGCTCAGATCCACCGTCCCATCAAGCCTGCGTAAACCGCTTTAACAGAGGAATTATGGAATCCAGATCGTTGATCCTGTGCACACTGCTGTACGAGGCGCAACCCTGCGCAAACCCAGCAACTCTGGTGACCAAAGAGGACGTGACCGAATCTGCTGCTGGTTCAGTCGGGGAACGATGGGTTTCAAAGCAAATTCTCGGCTGCTTTTGCAGTCGATGTTTTCACAGCAACTGGGTGTCTTTGGGCGGCAAGACGCCCCAATATGTATATATGGGGGCTCCATGTCGTAGGCCATTGAGCTTAAGTGTATTTATTCTGTTATTTTGTTATTGTGTGTACGGAGCCCTAGCAGTTGAAAAAGGTCTGCCTCCCTGAACAGGAGGCGTGTGTGCGAAACCCTTCAAGTCACAGGGATTCCTTTCAATGTGTATCTTTTTGATTTTTGCTTCCATTCTTAGTAGCAGGGGAGTGCGGCATGATTGTGGGACCGCACTCAACGAAGCTACCACAATCATGGAATACCGAGTCTGATCAACTCGGCGTACCTGCAGTTTCACTTGTGCAACTTCCTCGTGGTCCCTGCTTTTAACTAGAACAAGAATTCCAGCCATCGCATCGGTTTGCACTCTGCAGTTGCGAGCGACCGTCGTCATTTCGGCCTGTTCGTCGTGTTGCCACTTTTAGACTTGAACTTTGGACTTGGACCTCTTGGCCTCCTTAACTAACGATGGTCAGACCCCCTTGCTTGCTTTCTCAGGAATTTGGGTACCTAGGTTGCCGTGTGGCGAGCGGCATTCAGTTCAGTACGCATTTCCTAAGTGTGTGTGAATGAGCGCTACCCCCCCAAGAATATCAACAAGTCTGTTCTATGGGATTGACGTGTACATCGTTGCACATCTCCTTCCCTAAAATGTCACTTGCAGGCGCTTGTGCTTTCACAACACTCTGGCAACGATTCCTTCCCAAAGTTGTTCGACGAATCCTACTGATACTCCGACTCCTAGTACTATTACTGTTTCCCAAGCTATTGCTTCCACGACAAGTGCGACTGCTTTTGCTACTATTGTTGCGACATCAATTATTTTTTCTTCGACTACCAAGTGTCACCAGCCTCTTAAGCACTTATACAGATTAAGACCTTTCTTGTTTTGTAACACTGCCTCACTCCTGGGACTCTAAACTATGGACCCGTTTCTGTTCAGGGATCAAATTTGCTTATACTTAAGAACAATACGGTAGGTTTTTTTGAAAGTTGTGAAACAATCATGTAACAATCATGTCGATGCCAGGAACCATAGTGGTTTTCTTAAAAAACTCTGCTCTATGTTTATCAACACTCTTTCAAACACAATGCCTCACAGTTAGCCCCTATCTAATTCAGCACGACTGCTTCAAACATATTTCAACCAACAAGAACACTTCTTCTATGAAAAACACATGGAAACTGCTTCTTCTAGACGCAAACGTCTTGAAACTCTTCTTTGCGCAAACCAGTCAATGTCAGGACACCGAAATCGACCTGAAACGGTTGTCGTTCTCTGACTGGTTGGCGAGCATTGATCCCTCCATGGCATTACAGCAGTATTTGCCATGCATACAAGAGAGCTACGACACGGTCTCACAGAAACTTGGTGAAGGCTTCCGTTTCACTCTTGCCGTTTCACTCTTAGTTACATGCCTTTGCAATCGGACATTCTTCTGTTTTGTTTATGTTTTCCATTTATATACAGATCCGTTTGTCAAGTCACCTTGATGTTGGCCCTCCCATTGTTTTTTTGTATTTCGCTAGAGTTAACAACATTGTTTCTTAGCCAAAATGAATTAGGGGGTGGGGGCCCGACTTTCTGCAGTAAGGGTTCTGGGGAATCTGTGGTGTTCGCCTGCGAGTTTAGACATAGCTATCACCACGTGAACGCCAATCGATTTAATGTTTTGTTGGTGTCCCTTGCCGGTTGTGACTGCTTGAAAAATGGTCATGGTTCACTTCCAAGGATTGCTACAACATACACGATCTTGAAGAACGGAGGTCAAGAGAAGACGCTGGATCTCCAGCTGTTCGATGACTTTGGAGTTGTGGATGATGAACACCAAGCCTTGTTCCGGAACTGGTTTGCACGCTTCTGTGGGGTAAGGGAGATGGCGGATGGCGATAGCCTGTCAACGGAAGACCCTTCAACGCCACACTTTGGTCCTGAAGGCCTGGTACGGCCTGGAGTGGCCTGGGTGTAGAGATCCATTGCCGGTTTGGTTCCTTGGTCCTAGACCGGAGGCAACGCAAAATGTGTCGCAAAAATGGAGGACCTAATTTTCAAGCCTGGACATTTGGTCATGAATGTGCTTGTGAATGTGCTTTGTGTGCTTGTCCTTGCTTTGTTTGCAGAGAACTCGTTGTTTGGGTTTTGTTGCTCCGGTGCAGGAGAAGTGCAAACTGGAACTGCCAGCAACCTTCCTGGCAACTGTTCGGAGGAGGTGAAGGAAACAGCCACCGAGGTGCCCAGCGAAAAAGATGCGAAGGTCCCAGCAGTCGCTTTGGACGCCAAAATGGTTCAAGAGGAAGCTCTAAGCTCCCCCGTGAAGCAATTGCAAAGAGAGGGGCATGAAGCCAACCAGCAAGTAGAAGAGGTCGCGCAGCTTGTTGAGGCTGAGCATCCACCCCCAGGTGGACAGAGTCCTCCTCAGGGTAATGCGTTCTTCGATTTCGATGATTTATCAGCAGAACCGACTTTGCAGAAGACAGAATTGGCCGAGAACCAAGCAAGAGATGGCTCAGGAGGCAACTTGGCTGTGTGCTAGGGTTTTGGTGTGGTGCTTCCGTTGGCCCACACCCCATGGATCCAGAGTACCACTCAACAAAATCTTTTCCACTGTTCGGACCTGCAACTCATGGATGCTGCAACTCCCCCCTTCCTCCTTCAAGCTGTTGCACTGAAAGACATGTTCGCTGACCCTGCATCAGATGACAGTGAGCTTGAGCCCTTGACCCTGCATCCAGTTGCAGAGGATAGCCCTCTACTTTACCACCTGCCAGCGAAGGGACTCACTGATTGCACTGGTCGCACCTACCCAAGGCATGTTCGATTTCGACGAGCTGGAGGAAATAGCGCCCTCGGCGGCTGGCCTCAAGCTGCCTGGTGATGTGGCCAAGGCAGAGTGCATGTTTGGGTACGGGAACTTTCGAAAAAAAGAGACCCCAACTTCCCCAAATGAACATAATTTATGCAATGTCACACTGTCTCTTGCTTCCGGTTAGGGACAAAGCTTGTTGAACGTTCTCAAAGTATGGACCATCCTTTGGAGTCCTGGAGCTCTCGGATGTTTACTAGGAGCAAGGACGCTACTAGTAGCTCCTGGCCTTACTACTAGTAACAGGAAGCTACTAGTAGCAAAGGGCATTCCAAAGATGTTTGGAATCTGTGGGCCTTAGTTGATCCAAAGCGAGTGCTGCGTTGGCCGACTTTGAGGAGCAGGTCCAGGAGGAGGTTCAGGCTGAAGATACGAAAGGACAAGCAGTGGAAGAGGCTGGCCAGGATGAGCAGAAAGAGGAGGGGGGATGGCACAAGTCTTGACAGATCTAGAGTTTGAGGAGTAGATGTTTTCATGGGTAATGTCGTAACCCTGCAACCTTTTAGGAGATGACTGAAGACACTGCAAAGGAGAATGATGAGGCTGATGGAAATACAAAGGATGATTCGAAGGAGAGGATTCCGGAGGTGGAGATGGAGGCTTCTAATTTGCTTCACCAATTTGACGAGAGCATCATCCCAGGCAACACCGATGAGAGCGGAGAGCAGCCAGCTCAAAACCCTGAGACTTGGGGAGCAGACGTAGATCATGTTGAGACTGGGCGCGGTGGCTTTTTTGATTTTGATGATTTGGACGAAGCCGAAGCAGGGTAACCTTCTGAAGTGGTGAGCTGAGCAGCTGCTCTCTGAATCACAGCGGCAGCATGGAATGTGGGCATGTTGAAGTGTGCAAAGGACCTCTGCAACATGTCCGCTACAACAGGATGCATCTGGTGCAAAGTTGTTGGATGTCGCCGAATCCATTTGATAGGATTCATTCTCAGCGAGAGATCAAAAAGAGCCTTTGAACACCCTGGCCTTGTTGACCCAAAAAGAATCTAAAAAGAACACCCTGGCCTTCTTGACCCAAAAAGAATCTAGTCCATGCCTAGCTTCAGAGGCTGGGCTACTCGGCCATTGCCTTTCAGCGATTTCACCGTGGCTGACCTAGTCACCCCTGCAAGACTTCAGCTCCGGTCCGAGCGTTTGCGGATTTGTGCGGTTTGTCAATCTAAAACTGCTCTTTGCTGAGACACTCAAGGCACTCATTGACTGGGGCTTGCTGAGGTTCCTGTCTTTAACGGAACTCTTGGAGGTGAGGACAAGTTGCTCGGCCCAAAGGAGGCCCCGCTAGGCCTGGCTAGGTGCTACAGGAATTCGGTTTCGATTTGCTCAATGACCCCAGCAGAACATGTCCAGAAGGCCTGATGCATTAGACTTCCCCATTGGAAGATACACAGGTGTTTGGTGATTCTTTGCTCCGCGAGTAACAAATATAACTAGGAAGGCAGCCCCTTTTCAAGGGGCCTTACAGTACCTTGTTTGATCTTGTTTGTATTTGTTTAATTCTCTATTTCTTTTAAATTTGTGGCACTTCATGCAGTTGCAGCACGGAGCTCGTTTGAGGTAGCCGTGAAGCCGTTCAGCTGGTGATGCAGCGAACGGTGGGGTGTCTGAGAATTGAGCTCACTGGCAGATGATCATACTGACTTATATGAACATGTCTAAACTAGATCAAACAATCTTGAGATGCCTCAAGTTCTCAACACCTCTTTCTCAAAAGAATCCGAGCCCCGGGTTTAACGGACCCATCCAGACAAGATGCAACAATGAATGAAGCAATGAAGCCTTTGATGGAGCGACGGTTCACTTTTTGCCCAGGCAGATGGACATGGGAAGCAGCTTTGCAGGGCAAGCCGGCAGCATGTTCTTAAGGAACTGCTTGAACAGGTTGTAGATGAGTCTTGAACAGCGTCTTAGTCGACTATCTACCTCGATGGCTTCCTGGAAGATCAAAGCTACTGTTCTTGGTGGGAAATAGTAAGCAGGTTCTCGCTGCATTGAGTGGCCAAAGAAGCGAGCCAGGTTCACGACCGGATCCGGACACGGCTGTGGCTCAAGCGCATAGAAGACGTGACGGCTGGGACCGAGGAGCATTGGCCGAGACCAATGGATTTTTCATATTCCATTGAATTTGGTGAAGCTAAGGAGCAAAGGACGCTACTAGGGGCTCGTGGCCCTACTACTAGGAGCAAGGAGGCTACTAGGAGCTGGAAGTCTATTAGAGAAGCCTCCCGCCCCATGGAATGAGAGGAGATTGACGTGTTCTAAAGGCGCAATAGATCTAAAGATTTGGCGAGCCTGGCACTAGCAAGTGTCGCTGGCTAAATGAGACAAACGGGGCTGTGGGGCTGTGGCATGTTGTGGCATCCTAAGTTTGCCATATTGACCCTACTTTTCCGTGCCTTCCGCTCGCCGCATGCTCGGTACATAAGCTTTGCTGTCATGGGTGACCATGGATTGGGCAAAGCAGAAGCGTTCTTTTGATTTGTTCAATTTAGACTAGACTTGGCCTACATCGCTTGGAGTTGCCCCAACATACCAGCCACAAAACTGCCACACAAGCTACAGCTAGTTGACAGGCCTGTGCCAACATTCAGCCAGCCTTAGCGAAAGAACCAGACGACGGGGTCAGGGTCGGCACTTTTTTCAACTCGCGGGCCGCCTCTGGAGCAAAGCCTAGTGACGGCAGCAGGTGCGCACATAGACTGGAATGAGGACCAGAGCTTCTTGAATGGTCTAAATGTGCTTGTTCATTTCTGTGAACTATTCTCTACCATCCTTGTAAGTTTCTCTCAGTCTTTAGTACAATCGCAGCTACATAGCTTTCAATATAGAGATTTTGCTGTGATCATTTTATTGGATGTGATTGTACGACCTGGTGAAATTGACCAAATGATCTGCACCTTGCAGCGCCAGGTGAGGAGGTCTGCGCAGTCAGATGGTGCCCCGGTTAAGCGATTTGCAGGCGCAGCTCCGGAAAGGCGCCTCTGCCGCTCTGCCGCCGTTGGCCGGAACACTTCGCGATGTGATGAGGTGGCCATGTTAGGAGACTTGGAGTTTCACGCCTTGACAAGTGGAGTGGGCAACTGGGTGGACCTTTCGTCGGCCTTCACTTCCACATTCATGATTGGGAGTGACAAGACGCTATGAACATCATGGTGACATCAAGTACATTTGAACTGCGGGAGCATTGGATTTTTCGGAGGTGATGGCGCCGTGGCCTCCAGGGGTCAGGCGAAACCGCCAGGGCCCCACAAAGCGGTCCTCCCAACACTGGTTGAGAATGGGAGGCACGTTTGAGGCCATTTTAGGTGCATTTTTGCTGGGAGGACGAATGTGAGGCCATTTACTGGTGGGAGTTTGCTGGTCAGTCTTCAGGTTGTGGGTTCGTTTCTAGGTGTGAAGAACGCAACTCCAACGCTTGAGTGTGCAGTGATTTTTGTACCTTTCAACAAGGTCAGGCCTGCCCAAAGATGGTCTAAAGAGGCCGTCACCGGAGGAGCTGGCTTGAGGGAAAGACATGTTTGGCTGAGTCTTGATGGATAGAAAAGGTAGAGCAGCAAGAAGCTGGAGTTCATCTCCGAGCTTACTGTAGCACATTCCAACACTTTTCTTGACATGCTTTGTTCTTGCCTTTCGTGGCTGCTGGCGAGGATGGGTCAGGCGGACCACCGAAGAAGCGTCCGACTGGAGTGGGCCAAACTGCGAGGGTGTGGGTCTCAGCTGTGCCCAATGCACTACCGGGAGACTGACATGTCCAGACAAGTGGAAGATTGCAGCCAATGCCAGCTTTCCAGCCAGATTCAACCAAACACTTATGATATGTATGTATGTATATATATATACATTTACTACTATTAATTGCTGCATACATACATACATACATACAAACAAACATACATACATGGCTCAAGGCTCAAGCCAAGAGATGGAAACCAAGGTTCAGCTGCCCACCCAACAGCAGATGCACATGGTGGTGATGCTCCCAAAAAACGAAGCCAAAGAACGGCCAATCACACTCACATCCCTGCTCTACAGGGTATGGTGCCGCCTGCGAAAGCCCTTGCTTGATGACTGGCAAAAACACTTACCAGCCACCATGCAACATGACAGAGCCCGTCCAGGAGCACAAGTGCTCCATGTAGCCCTCGAACGGCTACTGCGACAAGAGGTGCATCGAGCAACTGGGCGATATGGAGTGACCTGCCTTATGGACATGTCCACCTTCTACGACACCATCAACCTTCAGCGACTCCAGACTGAAGCCCTGAAATTGCAGTACCCTCCACTGATGCTGGAAATGGCTTTGCAAGTCTACCATGGCCCCAAGGCCATTGTTGCGGAGCAAGAGATGACGCCATTTTTCACCGTCACCCATGGAGTCCCAGCTGGCTGCCCCCAGGCCCCTCTGCTGGCCAAGGCAGTCCTTGCCCCAGCACTCCAACCATGGCAGCAAGCCCATCCCAACATCCACCTATCAAGCTGGGTTGACGATGTTGGTTTTGACACGGCCAGCAAAACCCCAGTCCAGGCAGCGAGAGCCTCTCTGGCCGCCTACCGAGATCTCCATGCAAGGCTCCAGCAACTAGGTCTTCAAGTCAATCCAAAGAAGACAGCATTTGTCACCACTGACAAGGCCACTGATCGAGAACTCCGGGCTTTGCTCACAGACAATGATCCCCAGATAGCGCCAGTCATGAGAGACTTAGGCATTGATCATCAGGCAGCCCGCAAGAGGAGGATCCCGGTCATGAAGCAGCGCATTAAAAAAGCGCACCACAGGAAAATCAAGTTGAGGAGCCTCAAAATCCCAGCCCTCAAAATACGGCTGCGCCTCCATCGGGGAGGCATTCAGCCGGTTGCTCTATGGGGTGTCGAAAGTCAAGGCCTTGCGCCACGATATCGAGCGGCATTGAGACACAGCATGGCAAAGCACTTGGGCCATCACACGGGCGGCCTATTGGATGTCATCTATGATATCCATGCCAAGCGCTACATAGACCCTGCAGACCAGGTCATCATACAGCACATCAGAGCCATCCATCACCTCATCCAAGCATGGCCACCTGACCAGCTGCCAAATCTTGAACAAGCGTGGCAATTGACCAGACAGCAGCTGCAGGGGAAACAATACCCATGGTACACAGTCCGAGGACCCTTGGCAGCCACGATTGTCTACCTCCTGGAATGGGGATGGCAACCTCGAGACCTACTGCATTGGCACCGGCCAGAAACCACGCTGATGCTGGCAGAAGAGCTCCACCTTCAGCAACCATGGTGGGTCATCGAGCGCACCCTCACTCGGGAAGCTCAACAGCAGCGCACAGCCAGACTCGCCGGTAAGCAACACTGCCAAGACTTACTGACCGGACTGGACTGGCACACCTACAGGCAAGTGAGGAAGCACCTCAAACAACAACAACAGCACCACCTTGACACCTGGGTCCAGGCGGCGTTGCAATACAGAGATGCGCACCAGATCAAGAACTGTCCGCGTTGCCATGTCCCAGCCACGGCAAAACACATTCTCTGGCTATGCAAGTGGCGCAAAACTCAAAACCATGAACCCATGCCACCCGAGTGGATGGACCGCATTACCAGTCATGATGAAGAAAGGTTGTGGGCCCATGGATGGATACCTCTTGAACCACAAGAAGCAAGAACTCAGCAGCACCCACTCCAGGGACATGGCTGCTGGGCAGGCATGCAGGTCATCCCGCTCCAACAACACTGCGGCTGGGCATTCACTCTGGATGCTACTCCCTCCACCT